CCTCATCTTTACAAAAAAATCAAACAATTAGTTGGGTGTGGTGGCTCCTACCTGTGGTCCCAGCTACTGGGGAGGCTGAGGTGGGAGGATCACTTGAGCCCAGGAGACTGAGGCTACAGTGAGCTATGATTGAGCCACTGCACACCAGCCTGGGTACACGGCGAGACTCTGTCTCAAAAACCAAAAAGAAAAAAGGTGTTCTGAAGAGAACTGTCATACACTGCTTATGGGACTACAAAATGGTGTAGATGCTTTGGAAATCACTCTAGCAATTCTCCATACGGTTAAAGATACCGTACGACCCAGCAATTCCACACCTAGGTATCTACCCAAAAGAAATGAAACGTGTCCACACAGAAACTTGTACACAAGTGTTCACAGCAACATTATTCATAATAGCTAAAAAGTCGAAACAATCCATATGCCCCTCAACTAATGAATGGATAATTTTTTTTTTTGAGACGGAGTCTTGCTTTGTCACCCAGGCTGGAGTGCAACAGCGCGATCTCAGCTCACTGCAACCTCCGCCTCCTGGGTTCACGCCATTCTCCTGCCTCAGCCTCCCGAGTAGCTAGGACTACAGGCGCCCACCACCACGCCTGACTAAGTTTTTGTATTTTTAGTAGAGACAGGGTTTCACTGTGTTAGCCAGGATGGTCTTGATCTCCTGACCTTGTGATCCGCCTGCCTCGGCCTCTCAAAGTGCTGGGATTATAGGCTTAAGCCACTGCGCCTGACTGAATGGACAAATATTAATAAAACATGTAGATCTATACAATGAAATATTATTTGGCCATAAAAAGTAATGAAGCACTGATCCATGCTACGACGTGGATGAACCTGGGAAACATTAAGAAAAAGAAGCTGGTGTGTGGTGGGTCATGGCTGTAATCCCAGCACTTTAGGAGGCTGAGGTGGGAGGACTGCTTGAACCCAGGAGTTTGAGACCAACCTGGGCAACATAGCAAGACCTCATCTCAAAAAAAAAAAAAAAAAGAAGAAAGGAAAAAAAAGAGAAGCCAAACACAAAAGGCCATATATTATATGATTCTTCTTTATATGAAATGTCCAGAATAAGCAAATCCATAGAAACAGAATATAAATTAGTGGTTCCCTTGGGCTGAGGAGGCGATGGAAAGTGACTGTAAATGGACACAAAGCTATTTTGGGGGATAATGGAAATTTTTTAAAATTAGCTTTTATGTTTTAATTAAAAATGTAATTAATAGATGTGGGTCTGATGCAGGAATAAATACACAAATTACTGGGGAAAAATAGAAATACTTAAACATTCCCTATTACATATGACCTCAGTAGTGTATATGGGTAACATCACAAAGCAATGGAAAACATGGGCATTCGGTAAATTGACTGGAGAAAAAAAAAAAAAAAAAAAAATATATATATATATATATATTTTCTCATTTCTTCCCTCAACAATAAAATAATATAAAAGTATTAAAGAGTAAAATGTACTTGGAAACAAAAGGGGAGGAATATGTGTAATATTTTATTTGTTAAATTGGTGGGTACCTTCTTTGTCCTTTATATATTTTTATTATCATAGCTTTTTATAATAAATGTGTTTTTTTACCTTATTTTGTTTGTATTTGGTAGAGACAGGGTCTTGCTATGTTGTTCAGGCTGGTCTTTAACTCCTGGGCTCCTCCCACCTTGGCCTACCAAAGTGCTGGGATTACAGGCATGAGCCACCACACCTGGCCTGATCCTCATTTTAAAAAATATGTGTATATACATTTGCATAGGAAAAAAGAATGGAAGGAACCCAGCACTTTGGGAGGCCGAGGCAGGCGGATCACAAGGTTAGGAGATTCAGACCATCCTGGCTAACACCGCGAAATCCTGTCTCTACTAAAAATACAAAAAATATTAGCCGGGCGTGGTGGCGCACGCCTATAGTCCCAGCTACTTGGGAGGCTGAGGCAGGAAAATTGCTTAAATTCGGCCGGGCGCGGTGGCTCAAGCCTGTAATCCCAGCACTATGGGAGGCCGAGAGGGGCGGATCATGAGGTCAGGAGATCAAGACCATCCTGGCTAACACGGTGAAACCCCGTCTCTACTAAAAAATACAAAAATCTAGCCAGGCAAGGTGGCGGGCGCCTGTAGTCCCAGCTACTGGGGAGGCTGAGGCAGGAGCATGGCGTGAACCCGGGAGGCGGAGCTTGCAGTGAGCTGAGATCCGGCCACTGCACTCCAGCCTGGGCGACAGAGCGAGACTCCGCCTAAAAAAAAAAAAAAAAAAATTGCTTAAATTCAAACAGCAGGGGTTGCAGTGAGCCAAGGTTGCACCACTGCACTCCAGCCTGTGCGACAGAGTGAGACTCTGCCTCAAAAAAAAAAAAAGAAAAAGAAAAAGAAAAGAAATGGCCAGGTGCGTTGGCTCATACCTGTAATCCCAGCACTTTGGGAGGCCAAGTAGGGCAGATTGCCTGAGGTCAGGAGTTTAAGACCAGATATAAAGATATTTTCTTTATCTGTATTTTTCTGTTTTTTCTGCACTTAATTTTAAGAGATCTACCCCCGCCACCTTCGCAGTAGCGGCTTTGGATATATGAAAGTTGGGTGAAGCTGTGGAGGGGGACACTGTGAGAAAAGAATCAGGAATGGGATGGGGTTTTGCTCACCTCAAGCCCTCCTCCAGCCCCAAACCCCTCTCCTTTCATTCTCAAAGATACTAAGGAAATCAAGGTCAAATTGCCAGCTGTGTGGCCTTGGACTGATTCCTCACCCTGTCTGAGCCCTTTCCCATATATGTCGTGTGGACTAAATTTCTGGAAAAGGCTCCCAGTCCTTTTCTTCCTTTCCTTCCTAGCACTGCTAAGCAAGACACAGGGAGTAACAGCTTTGCTTAGCAGTGCTGGGAAGGAAGGAAGGGAGAGAAAAGGAAGGTGGGGAACATGGGGTGAGGAGGAGAAAGCTGGCATCGGAATGGCTGGTGGGTGTGGCAGAGGCAGCAGGGTGGGACAGGTAGAGGGATTGGTCCCCTCCTGTCATCTTCTCTGCCCTGGAGCTTTGAGGGCATGATTACCCAATCTCTGGATGTAACTCTTAGAAAGTCTCTGCTGGGCTGAGCACCGGACATGGAGTCCAAAGACCTGCATTCCGCTCACACCTCACATTGGCCACCTGTGACCTTGGGCAAATTAGTTCCTCCTTTGAGCCTTGTCTTGCTCAGCTATGTAAGGAGTTAATGCTTGGCTGGTTGCAACAGCTCTAGGAAAGGTGCTTTATAAAAGGCTAAGCAACTACGGTGCTGTCAGTGATGAACAAACTGTGGCACACCTTCCCTTGTGTTTTCAAATGTCTTTATCAAGGTGTAATTCACACACCACACGATTCGCCCATTTTAAATGTGTGCTTCAGCAAGTTTTAGTCTATTCACAGAGTTGCACACCCATGATCACAATCTGTTTGAGAACATTTTCATCATCCCAAGAAGAAATCTGTACTCTTGCCAGGAGCAATGGCTCCTGCCTGCAGTCTCAGCGATGAGGGAGGATTGCTTAAGTCTGGGAGGTCAAGACCAGTGTAGGCAACGTTAAAAACAAGAAAATCCCCCAAAAAACCTTAGCTGGGTGTGGTGACACAAACCTGTAGTCCTAGCTACTCCTGAGGCTGAGGCAGGAGGATCACTTGAATCCAGGAGTTTGAGGCTGCAGTGAGCCATGATCCTACCCCTGTACTCTAACTTGGGCGACAGAGCAAGACGACTCAAACAAATAAACAAACAAACTAAAACTAAAAACAAAACCATACTCTTATTTTATTTTTTAGAGATGGAGTCTAATTTTGTTGCCTAAATTGGTCTTGAACTCCTGAATTCAAGGGATCCTCCGCCTCAGCCTCCCAAAATGCTGCAATTTCAGGTGTGAGCTGCGCCCGGCCAAAACCCTACTCAGGAGCTCTCACCCTCCAGTCTTCTCAGATCCCTGAGCCCCAGGCAAGTACTCATCTACTTTCTATCTCTATAGATGTGCTTATCCTGGACATTTCATAGAAATGAAATCATATAATGTGTTGTCTTTTGACTGACTTCTTTCATTTAGGATAATGCTTGCAAGTCTTGTTCATTTTGTAACATATATAAACATTTAATACCTTTTTATAGTTGAATAATATTCCATTGTATGGGTATGCCACATTTTAGGTATCCATTCATCAGTTGATAGACATTTGTGTTTTTTTCTCTATTTTGGGGCTATTATGAATAGTGCTGCTATGAAGTTTTTGTGTAGACACATGTTTTCATTTCTTTCTTTCTTTTCTTTTTTTTGAGATAGAGTTTTGCTCTGTCGCTAGGCTGGAGTGCAATGGTACCATCTCAGCTCACTGCAACCTCCGCCTCCTGGGTTCAAGCGATTCTCCTGCCTCAGCCTCCCGAGTAGCTGGCACTACAGGCATGCGCCACCATGCCCGGCTAATTTTTTGTATTTTAGTAGAGATGGGGTTTCACCATGTTGGCCAAGATGGTCTCAATCTCCTGACCTCGTGATCCATCCGCCTCGGCCTCCCAAAGTGCTGGGATTACAGGCGCGAGCCATCGTGCCTGGCTTTTTTTTTTTTTTTTTTTTTTTTTTGAGACAGAGTCTCACTCTGTCACCCAAGCTGGAGTGCAGTGGTGTGATCTTGGCTCACTGCAACCTCCACCTCCCAGGTTCAAGTGATTATCCTGCTTCAACCTCCCAAGTAGCTGGGATTACAGGTGCATGCCCCCACATCCAGCTAATTTTTGTATTTTTAGTATAGACGGGGTTTCACCAAGTTGGCCTAGCTGGTCTTGAACTCAAGCGATTTGCCTGCCTCGGCCTCCCAAAGTGTTGGGATTACAGGTATGAGCCACCGCACCCTGTCTATTTTATTTATTTATTTTATTAGAGGCAGGCTTTTGTCATATTGCCCAGGCTGTTCTCAAACTCCTGGGTTCAAGTGATCTGCCTGCCTTGGCTTCCCAAAGTGTTGGAATTACAGGCATGAGCCACTATGCGTAGCCATTGAGTTTTATTTTTAACTGGCAAATAATAATTGTTTATATCTATGGGGCAGGACATGATGTTTCAGTACATATATACATTATGGAATGATCAAATCAGGCTAATTCACATACTTATCACTTCATATACTTACTGTTTCTTTGTGATAAGAACATTTAAGATCTGTTCTTTTAGCTTTTCTGAAATATATGTTATTAACCACCACCACGCTGTATACTAGATCACTAGAACCTGGTTGGAGAAAAATCAAAAGGATACCTTGTGACCACGAAAATTACATGAATTCAAATTTTAGCCTGAAATATCTACTATCTAGTGCTTTACAGTAAAACTTTGATGACTTTTGAACTAAACAAACACAGAGAAACTTGGATAGATCTATAGGCTGAATGAAAAAAGCAAATGTAACAGTGATCTGTTGCTGCATAACAAACGATCCCAAAAGGTAATGGCTTAAAAATAGACATTTATGGCCGGGCGCGGTGGCTCAAGCCTGTAATCCCAGCACTTTGGGAGGCTGAGATGGGCGGATCACGAGGTCAGGAGATCAACACCATCCTGGCTAACACAGTGAAACCCCGTCTCTACTAAAAAAAATACAAAACACTAGCCAGGCAACGTGGCAGGCGCCTGTAGTCCCAGCTACTCAGGAGGCTGAGGCAGGAGAATGGCGTAAGCCCGCGAGGCGGAGCTTGCAGTGAGCTGAGATCTGGCCACTGCACTCCAGCCTGGGAGACAGAGCCAGACTCCGTCTCAAAAAAAAAAAAAAAAAAAAAAAGGCATTTATTATCTCACATAGTTTCTATGGATCAAAAATTTGCAAGTGGCGGCCGGGCGCGGTGGCTCACGCCTGTAATCCCAGCACTTTGGGAGGCCGAGGCGGGCGGATCACAAGGTTAGGAGATCGAGACCATGGTGAAACCCCGTCTCTACTAAAAATAGAAAAAATTAGCCGGGTGCAGTGGCGGGCGCCTGTAGTCCCAGCTCCTCGGGAGGCTGAGGCAGGAGAATGGCGTGAACCCGGGAGGCGGAGCTTGCAGTGAGCCGAGATTGCGCCACTACACTCCAGCCTGGGCGACAGAGCGAGACTCCGTCTCAAAAAAAAAAAAAAAAAAAAAAAAAAAAAAATTTGCAAGTGGCTTGGCTGAATGGTTGTGGCTTGGGGTCTCTGACAAGGTTGTGGTTAAGATGTTGCTGGGGCTGCAGTCATCTGAAGGCTTTCCTGGGGCTGGAGAATCACTTTCAAGATGGTTCACTTACGTGGCTGGCAAGTTGGTGCTAGCTGTTTGCAGAAGGCCTCGTTCCTCTTAGACCTCTTCATAGGGCTGCTTGAGTGTCCTCATAACGTGACAGCTGAAGGCCGGGTGCCTCAACTCATTGTTGTTTTAATTTACAGTTCCCTCTGAGCATGGTGTCTCACGCCTGTAATCCCAGCACTTTGGCAGTCCAAAGCAGGCGGGTCACTTGAGGTCAGGAGTTCAAGACCAGCCTGGCCAACATGGCAAAACCCCATCTCTATAAAAATACAAAAAAAAAATTAGCCGGGCATAGTGGCATACGCCTGCAATCCCAGCTACTTGGATGGCTGAGGCAGGAGAATTTCTTGAACCCAGGAGATGGAGGTTGCAGTGGGCCAAGCTCATGCCACTGCTCTCCAGCCTAGGCGACAAAGCGAGACCTCATCTCAAAAAAAAAAAAAAAAAAAAAAAAAGGGAAGAAAGAAAAAGAAAACGCTCAATTTTTTTTATTTATTTCTTTTTTGAGACGGAGTCTTGCTCTTTTGCCCAGGTTGGAGTACAGTGGCGTGATCTTGGCTCACTGCAAGCTCCGCCTCCCGGGTTCATGCCATTCTCCTGCCTCAGCCTCCCAAGTAGCTGGGACTACAGGCGCCCACTACCACACTCAGCTGATTTTTTGTGTTTTTAGTAGAGATAGGGTTTCACTGTGTTAGCCAGGATGGTCTCGATCTCCTGACCTCGTGATCCGCCCGTCTCGGCCTCCCAAAGTGTTGGGATTACAGGCGTGAGTCACCGTGCCCAGCAAAAAATGCTCAATTATTATTACCCAAATGATGGTGCTGGTGGATTGCTCACTCCTCCTGCCAGCCTTCTGCCCTCTGTGGAGACAAGGGGCTCTTATATACCAGAGCCCTGTGAATGCCCCGAGATCTAGCCTGTTGGTAGGAGAATCAAAACTCTCTTTAAAAATATTAATATATCCTATGACTGTAGGCCTTGTCATTTCTTTCACTTAGCTCTTTTAACCCTCATCAGCTCTGCCAGGTAGGAACTAAACTGTTATATCAAGATGCCCAGAGAAGTGAGTTGAATGGCATGTTTTTAACGGTTATACCTCCCTGTGAAGTCATTCATTCATTTGGCAAATACTTACTGAGGATGTACTATGTGCCAGTATTGGGGATACAGCAGTGAACAAAGCAGGCAAAGCCCCTGTCTTCATGAGGGGTGGGAACAGTGAGATAAGACACTAGACAGCCCAGGCTTGGTGTGTCATGCCTGTAGACCCGGCTACTTGGGAGGCTGAGGTGGGAGGATAATTTGAGCCTGGGAAGTGGAGGCTGCAGTTAGCCATGATTACATTACTGCATTCCAGCCTGGGTGACAGAGACCCTGTCTCAAAACAAACAAAAAAATACATTAGACAGTAAACAAATAGCAAATAAGATAGATACATTAAAATAGGGTGAACAGATAGAAAGTTACTGTGTTATAAGGGGTAGTCAGGGAAGACTTACATTTGAACTGACACTGGGAGCCAGCCCAGTGAAAAGCAATTCTGTAAGTGAATACAGCAGTGAATAGAACAGAGAAAAATCCCTATGCTGACAGAGTTTACACACCACCAGAGGGAGATAGACAGCAAATATAAGTCGATTATACGACATGTCAGGAGGTGATAATTGCTGTGGGGAAAAAGTACAGCAGGGTAAGGGGGTATATTAGTCTGTTTTCATGCTGCTGATAAAGATATACCTGAGACTGGGTAATTTATAAAGAAAAAGAGATTTAATGGACTCACAGTTCCATGTGGCTGGGGAGGCCTCACAATCATGGTGGAAGGTGAAAGGCATGTCTTACATGGCGGCAGGCAAGAGAGAATGAGAACAAACAGAAATGGAAACCCCTTATAAAACCATCAGATCTCATGAGACTTACTGCCACGAGAACAGTATGGGGGAAACTGCACCCATGATTCAATTATCTCCTACTGGGTCCCTCCCATAATACATGGAAATTATGGGAGCTACAATTCAAGATGAGATTTGGGTGGAGACACAGTCAAACCATATTGGGGGCTAGGCTAGTTAATTAAGGTCTTGCTAAAAAGCTGATATTTGAACAAAGACTTGAGGGTGAGGGAGGAAACCATGCTCTTCATGGGGAACATTACGTGTGTCAGGAACAGCAAGTGCAAAGTTCCTGTGGCAGGAACGTGCCCAGGTTTTTTGAAAGGCATCAGGGAGGCCTGGGTGACCCTGGGTTTATTGGGCTATTTGTCCCACATGTTGGATGTAGCTGGTTGCTTCTTGAGATGTCAGATTTAGTTATTTTTTTTGTGTGGTGGGGGTGTTAAAGGAAGGACAGGAAACTGTTACAGATAGCCCAGTGATCAAACTTAGTGTCACAAAATAGCACAAACCTACACAATGGGCTTCCTGATATGATATAATGGCAAATAGATAACAAGGCCTATGCAATAGTGTTACCAAAAGCGACTTGCCTGAATATAACCAGGAAGAATAAACAGGATGAATTCCAATTGCGGAAACTTTTACAAGACAACTGCCTGGACTCTTTAAAAATGTCATGAGAGAAAAAATGATGTGAACATTGATTGGATCTTGGATCACAAATACAACCACAGCTACACAGGATATAAATGAGACCACGGGATATTCGAGTATGTATAGGTGAGATAATAGCATTATATCAAGGTTGAGCTTTCAAAGTGTGATAATGGCATTGCGGCTGCCTACGGAGATACAGGCTAAAGTATTCAGGGGTGAAGTGTCAGGATGTCTGCAAGTAACTCTCAAATGGTGCAGTCAAGAAAATAAAAATACAAATGAAACGTGTGTGCAAAATGTGTTGACAATTGATGAATCCAAATGGGAGAAATAAGGGTGTTTGTTGATTGTGCGATTTTAAAGCGTTTCTGTGGGTATGAAGTTTTTCAAAATAATTAGTTGCGAGGAAAAACTAACGCTTTGCTCGTGGAGATGCTGGCTGCTCCTGCATCACCACGGGCCCCTCGGATGTGTGGATTTGCGGGTCTCGTTGTTTTCTTTATTTAATTAATTTATTTAGAGATGGAGTTTCACTCTTTCGGCCAGCCTGGAGTGAAGTGGCGATTCTCCTGCCTCAGCCTCCTAACTAGCTGGGATTATACCCGCCTGCCACCATGCCCAGCTAATTTTTGTATTTTTGGTAAAGACAGGGTTTCGCCATGTTGGCCAGGCTGGTCTCGAACTCCAGACCTCAGGTGATCCACCCACCTTGGCCTCCCAAAGTATTAGGATTAAAGGCGTGAGCCAGCGCGCCCAGCCAGGTCTCATTTCTGATGCTCAACCTCATCCCTGCTGTCGCCGGGTGCCCCAAATCTCTTCCTCTCACGTACAGGACCTGTGACCTGTGGATGGACATCGCCGAGACGGAGAAGGAGAAATTCCAGCATCGTTTAAAGGAGGGAAGGGAGAAAAGGAGGAAGAAAAGGAGAGGAAGCCAGACAAGCTCCGTGCGGCGGGGCGGCTCCGTGCGGCCGGGCGGCTCCGTGCGGCCGAGCTCTGCAGTCCTGGAAGCCCTTTGCGGTGCGTCACTGCCCCCCGGTGGCCACCAGGCAAGCACGCGGTGCCCGGCAGGGAGGTGGAAGGGGTCCTGCAACCCTCGCTCCTGGAGGCTCCGGGGAGAGCTCCTGGCAGGCCAGCGCCGCCACAATCCTAGCCTGTTCGCCTTGAGTTAGCTCATAGTAAAAAGCTACTATGAGCTGAGCACGGTGCAGGTGCAGGTGCAGGTGCTCTGTAGCTATTAACTCACTTAATCCTCACATCAGCTTTAATAGGTGAGATTATGGTAGCTCCCATTTTACAGAAAAACTCAGGCTCAGAAAGGGAATGCAGATTGCCCAGGCTGGTCTTGAAATCCTGGCCTCAAGGGATCCTCCTGCCTTGGCCTCCCAAAGTCCTGGGATCCCAGGTGTGAGCCACCTCACCTGGCCTGGGGCCTGGGTTTTAACCAGCAAAGACTGCACAGCTAGAGTTGCACCTTCTAACTCCAGGTCCAATGCATGGCCCACCACAGTACACCTGTGTGTGTGTGTGTGTGTGTTTTTTTTTTTTTTTTTACTTTCCACATGTGATGACGATAGCAAAATAATAGCAAGACACATCTATAGTGCTGACCATGGGCTACACATAATGCAACATATTAACCCATTTAATCTGCAACAGCCCTACAGGGTAGGTTCTATTAATATGGCCATTTTACAGTTGAGGAAACTTAAGTACAGAGAGCTTAAGAAATTTGCTGGATGTGGTGGCTCACATCTATAGTCCTAGCTACTCAGGGGCTGAGGCAGAAGGATGGCTTGAGCCCAGGGGTTCGAGACAAACCTGGGGCAATATAGTGAGACCCTCATCTCTATAAAAGATAAATTAGCTAGGAGTGGTGGCAATACCTGTAGTCCCAGCTGTTTGGGAGGCTGAGCTAGGAGAATCACTTGAGCCTGGGGAGGTCGAGGCTGCAGTGAACCGTGATTACGCCACTGCACCCCAGCCTGGGTGACAAGAGTGAGACTCTGTCTCTAAAAAAAGAAAGAAATAAATTTGTCCCAGATCACTCAGAGAGCAAGGGGTATTGACTGGAAAAGTATTGAGCAATGTTGGGATTGTCTGTTTATTTATTCCATTTACAAATGTTTATTGAATACCTACTAAGTGCAAGATCCTGAACTAAGACCTCAGTGTGCAGGGATAGAGAGAGACAACAAACAATGCTACTGAATTGAAAAATGAAAACTGCAACGAGCAAACCTAATGTAATTACAAAGGTGTTACTGGAAATAAGATCCTTAACGTGGAGAATGGAATGGTTTAAGATAATTTAGAAATAAAAGTAAATGTGAACAGCTGACTACTTCTGGGGGCGTGGCTGAGTGACAGCTTAAGTGAATAAACACCCTTTCACTGCAATCCACCAGCAGAAGTAACACACTGGTAAGTCCTAATTTTTTTTTTTTTTTTTTTGAGACGGAGTCTCGCTCTGTCGCCCAGGCTGGAGTGCAGTGGCCTGATCTCAGCTCACTGCAAGCTCCGACTCCCGGGTTCACGCCATTCTCCTCCCTCAGCCTCCCAAGTAGCTGGGACTACAGGCGCCCGCCACCACGCCCGGCTAATATTTTGTATTTTTTAGTAGAGACGGGGTTTCACTGTGTTAGCCAGGATGGTCTTGATCTCCTGACCTCGTGATCTGCCCATCTCGGCCTCCCAAAGTGCTGAGATTACAGGCTTGAGCCACCGCGCCCGGGCGGTAAGTCCTAATTTAAGGCGTGGCTGAATATTTGTTTTGACGACAAAAGAAGGAACTGCCATTTTCCTGAGAAATTAAGAAAAAGGGTAGCTTTTAAAAATTGTATTGAAAGTCCTACTCTTAATAAACAGAATCTAGTGATTCAATCTGACTTTCAGAGAATGATAGCTATCACTTGCAATCACCTCCTCCCACTTCAAGCCTGTGGTCTCATGCAGAGCGCCTTGCGGCAGTGCCAGGTACTCAGTCCCCTGCTGGGTCAGAGGAAGTCCATCCGCTTAGCTCTTGCCAGGCCACCCCATCTCTTCCGTACCTCTCAGGCCCACTGCTGCACCATGTTTCTTTGGAAGGCCCCAGACTAGGGCCTGCTAACCGTCACCAGAGACTCACTCCTTCCTTACCTGGGTGGGCGAAACCCCAGGGAGAAGCAACCTTCCCAGGGGGCTCTGTCTACAGCCTTACTGTGACTGCGCTCAGCACCAGCGGGGCACTGCCTCCGCCTCCCCGCGGACACACACTTTTTTTTTTTCTTTTAGCTGAATTACCTTATGTATTCACACAAGATACATACAGAAAAATGTGTAGGAAAATGAAAAGCACAAGGTTTTATCATTTTCATCTTAATATCCTTGTTAATATTTTGATCTATATCCTCCATGAAATATTGTCTGGATATATTTGAGGAAAAGATATGGCTGGAGAAACTGGCTAAGAGTTTGAATAAACTGGAGGGCGTGTTAGATCCAAAACACAACAGCAAAACACAGCATCCCGCAAAAGTAGTTGTATGTTTTGTTTTTATTGAGACAGAGTCTCACTCTGTTGCCCAGGCTGGAGTGCAGTGGTATGATCATGGTGCACTGCAGCCTCAACCTTTAGGGTGATCCTCCCACCTCAGCCTCCTGAGCAGCTGGGACTACAGGGAGGTGCCACCATGCCCAACTAATTTTTGTATTTTTTTGTAGAGACAGGGTTTCGCCAATTGCCCAGGCTGGTCTTGAACTCCTGGCCTCAGTCCCACCTCGGCCTCCCATAGTGCTGGGATTACAGGTGTGAGTCAGTGTGCCCAGTCAGTAGTTGCATTTTTTTATTATCTGTATCAGTGGTTCTCAAAATGTGGTTCCTAGGCCAGCAGTATCAACATCATGTGGGAACTTTTCAGAACTGCATGCTCAGTAGCCAGCCCAGATATGCTGGATCAGAAAATAGGCTGCAGCCTGTGTTTTTTATTGTACTTATTTATTTTTTCGTTGAGACCGGGGTTTGCTTTGTTGTTCAGGCTGGTCTCAAACTCCTGGTTTCAAGCGATTTTCACGCGCTGGGCTCCCAAAGTGCTGGGATCTCAGGCACGAGCCATCACACCCAGCCTGGTGTCTGTGCTTTAACCAGCTGTCCAACTGATTGTGATAAATGCTCAATTTTGAGAACCACTGTACTGCACAATGACCACATCTCTTAGGAATTCGGTGTTTAAAAAATGAATTTAT